GGCTGCACAGTTTTCTGAGAATAAACATCAATTTCTTACATTTCTTGTACTTGTTGATGCTATGAATGTAAGGTAGGGCGGCAGGGAAGACAGAGAGGTATGTGGGCTGCACCAGTAAAAAAGGAATAGCTGTAGACTAATAATAAGTTGGTAGAGGAAAGGAAGAAGGCCAAGAGAAAAAGCAGCAGCTTGGAAGGAGAAGTGTTTCACCTGGGTCAGACTGCCAGAGCTGCTGACACAACGTCAGCCTGCTGCTGCTCCTTGTCCCGAATCGCCTGTGCAGACATGTCTTCGTGCAGCCCACAGGGGTTTACTAGACAGTGATACAGCTCTGTGCTCGGGTTGTTAAATGAGTTTCCGGCTCTAGATTGGCCCAGTTTGTCCCATGTGTTATTATCTGTGCTGTGGACGGCTCCCAGAACGTCCTGTGATGGCTTTTTAATTTGTGAATGGATACATGATTTGACCTAGAAGACTGTGTCTGTGGGAATCTGATGGGATGGTCTCACTGGTCATAAACACCCCTAGATAGAGGAACCGACTGCTCCCTGTGTAATGGCTTGACCTGCTTAGATGGTCAAATCATCCATCTATCAATCTATCTGGGTCAATAAGCATAATGAAAAAGAACAATGAGAGCACTGAGAGTTTTCACATCCTGAGAGATTATCTATTTGTAGCCACAATATGAAAATGAGCAGGGGTGTGTGTGTGTGTGTGTGTGTGTGTGTGCGCACCTGCAAGCATCATTGATTAGGTGTGATTGACTTTCCGGCCCCGGGGCAGGTGTGTGGGCGTTGACCTCAGTACATGCTGTTCACACAATAATCGAATGTCCTCGCTGCTTGCATACTTCAGTGGGTGTGTGTAAGTGTATGTGTGTTTCATTTCTGCTATTTTGGATCGGAAGGCCATGGTGCTGCACAAACATTGCAGACAGTATTTGACATTTTCTTTCACACAGTTGTGTTGAGGCCTTTTTTCTCTCTCTCTCAGTGTGTGTGTGTGTGTGTGTGTGTGTGTGTGTGTGTGTGTACGTACACATGCTGTAGCAATGCAACGCTCACCCTGTGTTCTGTGTGTGTTCCCTCCACAGGGGTTTTGGCAAGCAGGGATTCCAGTGTCAGGGTAGGTGGACGACATGCGCACACACACACACACACACATGCACACTGCTAGGTGGTGGTCCGCTGCTAAATAACTGGACTTTGTTCTTCCTACTTATTACTTAGTTTCTATCTTCTTGCAGCCCTATTAAGGTCTTTTTTCCATGCTCCCACTTTCCATTTTCTTTGGGTCACACTGCAAGAACAATGTCATACTTCATTTCCCTAATCCTGTCGTTGCGTTTCCTCACCTCTCTTCCTCCCCTTTGTCGTTTACTTCCACCTGCTTCTGTTTCTTTCTCTCCACCTCCCTGCTCCTCTCCCCAGTTCTTCCCTTTGCCAAGGTTATGTTGTTATTGGTGTTTGTTCACAGCACAACTCAAAAAGTAAGGTGTGGATTTTGATAAAATGTCTTGGCCCACAGAGCAATCCATTAGAGTCTGGTGCTGACCTGGATCTTTTTTTTTTATGCACCATTACATCCACATAAGATCTACCACACACCAAAGTGTGATCTGGATCCAAGTAATGTTCCACATCTGCTGATCAAGAATGTTCACATTTATAGGGCTTACAGAAAACTGACTGCTGTGAGGAGACGCACAACGACTTGCAGCTAAAATCAAGTTCTAGCTAAAACTCAGTTGGGTGTCAGCAGATTCGATGAGTCTTCAAAGGTTCTTCAGCTTGATCCTGAAGATTTAGCCACCATTAGTAAAATTTGGTTGTTTTATTTTAAGAACTTTGCAACTAGTAATGATATCAATGCCATTCCAAATGCCAGGGGTAGGTTTTCATGGTTGAGGAATGACATAATGAGGCTCAAACTGTCATGGGAATATTACATTTATGTGTAACAGCATTATGGGGACAGTGAGCGCTCAGTCTAGCTCTCTTTACTTTCTTCTTTCTTTTTAACCCACTTGATCTTTCTATCTTTTATCTCTCCTTATTTCCAGAGTGAACACTGAGGTTATGACCACGTCTTTCTGATTCAAGTTACTGATTCTTAAAGATCACATGACCAACAACCTACTTTAGGCATCACTTGCTTTGACAGTGACTCCAGCAAAAAAACAAAAAACATACTAAGGCATATTATTGTTTATTTTTATTTGTTATTATTTTTAGTGGGTTTTAAGAGCCGTCCCTGGTAGGCTAGTGGTTAAGGCGCAGCACTCTCGCTGCTGCGGCCCGGGTTCGAATTAGGGTTGCGTTAAGAAGGGCATTCGGTGTAAAACACGTGCCAAATGTCAGTCAACATGCGAGTCGTCAGATTTGCTGTGGCGACCCCTAAATGGGAAAAGCCGGAAGTGACTTTCTTTCTTTCTATTTTTTTGGTGGGTTTTAATGAACAGCATTTCCAAGACTCGTATCTTGACTCCAAACATTACTAGCTTGACAGGCTGGTTGGCCTCCCTGATGTTTATTAGGCATAGCAGGTTAAAATGGTCCCCAAATTTGTTTGGGATTTGATGGGAATAAAGAACAACCTCCAGATTGAGGTAAATTAAATATTAAGGATTGGACAATATTGTGAAATTCAATATATTGTGATACAAAATGTGTCGCTTTGTCTAACGATAGATATCATATGGTATCCATACGCCAGCGACTTCATATTTTTTGTAAACAGTAGCTTAACAGAGCGTAAGTCGATATATCTGCTTGTTCTTTATATAATCAGACCAGTGGTAGGAAACGGGGGGAAAAGGAATAAGGTACAAGTATTCCATAACTAGTCAAACATTATGCATTGAATTTTTAAATGTGGAATCTTGTATCGAGAAAAGTCGTCTCATCCCTATAAAATACTGAGGAAGTGAAAGAATGGGCAGCAGTGTTCTGATCTGTTACAGTCTGTGTGAAAGGGGTTCCTGGTAAATGCTAGAGACATATTTTGGTTATTTTTGTTAAAGATGATGGTGTGTTAAAGTTGTTGGGTAAATGCAGCTGTTGATTTAACAAATGGAGCTTTTCATGGTTTTGTTAAAGACCAGTGAGAAGCATTAGAGCAGAGCTAAGGACTGAAGTGCAAGCAGGACCTTTGTGTGTGATTCACAGAGCGAAGCATATTGTAGGTGTAGGTTTAGTTACGAATAGTAGGAAGGTGACCAAAGCTCAGGAAAAAAGTAAATATCTCATTTATTATGCCCACACACCGTGTGAGCATGAAACACTCGCAGCTTATTATCAAAACCATATTTGTTTTTAAAAAGCCACATGTATAATCGGGTGCTTCTTCACAGCAGACATTTAGATTTGTCGGAAAGGAACAGGTGTTAGTAATTAATTAGTAAACAGTGCCTGCTATGTTGAAGTGTCCCATTAAGCCATGATAACATGGCAATGAGCCAGGACTCTGAAACCGATGCAGCTAAATGGAGTTCAGCCATCTTTCCTTTTTATTTACACCTGTTGTCTTTCTACTTCCTGTTGTGTACATAACTACTTTTAAATAATAAGGTACAAAAAATGTTCTGTCAGCTGCCTGCGCCCGTGATGAGGTAGAAGTTAAAGTTTTTGTATTGTAGAGACGGGTTGAGCATCCACTCAGCCACAGGAAATGACACAAACTGTTAGAGAGACTAGCTGGCAAAAATGTGGAGGTGCTTTGGGCTTTTGTGTTATTTTTTCAATTTGCTTGAAGTCTGTTTTTCCACTTGCATTAATGGCCAACTGCGTGTCTTCAAGGATTTTCACGTCTCCTAGCAACAGTGAAACATTGAGATGCGACCAGCTCCAGTATATGGTGAGGGGTGGTTCAACACAGCAGCGGGTTAGTCGGTACTCGGTGTACCTCAGCATGTGATGGGTCAGTAGTGTAGTGGCTCCCAACCTTTTCTCCTTGGAGCCCACGGGTGGTGGTGGTGGTGGTGGTGTGTGTGTGTGTGTCTGTCTGTGTGTGTGTGTGATTTCACTGTCTGTCCTAAATCCACTCCACTAAGAGAGAGAGTGTGAATGAATAGAGCGAGTGGTGTTAGCAAGAATAAAGCAGTGAATTTGAGAAATAAAATATTGTTTCCCATCAGTTACATTCTCAGGGAGGAAGGCAGCTCTTCTCCAAGGTCACACACACTTGGAGAGAAGTAGCAGGTCAGTGTTTGGATGTGCTTTGCTTTATGTGGTTGTGTTTGTTTGCAGAGAACTACATGGGGGGTGTTTGTGTGCATGCAGAATAAAAAAAACTTTGCTGTGTGTTTGAATGGATTTGTGGCAGTGCAGTTTGTTTTATACATAAGAGCTTAAGGAAGGAAGAAGTTGGGGGAGAATATAGTGTATATATATATATATGACAAAGCATGTTTACATTCCCTTCATGTGAAGGCCTGGCAGGTTGTGTGTCTTACAGCTCCTCTGTCTCTTGTGAGTTTATTAGTGGCATCACAGCCTCATTTGGTGTCTGTGCATTGATTATACGCTCACTACAGTACCTGAATCAGTGCCCCCTTAGCGTTCCCTTTGCCCTCTTTCACTCGTCACACTGCTATGATATTGTACTTTTACTTTTTTCTGTCACATCTGTAGATACAGTAACACCAGCCTTCATTACCAGAGTTTGATCTAGTGACATTTGTTCCTCTTCACTCTGCCTTGTAATGACAAAGGCTAGTGTATATTTGTGCTCTCTGTAGTTGTCTGTCCAGCATATTGTTGATTCTGCCGGGAGCTGTCAGACCATCCGGAGTAGGATGCAGACAGCAGCCTGGAGCACAGACCCTCAGCAGCAACAGTTTGCTGTGGTGTAGACGGTTGTTGCCAGAGTTAAGATGTACTGACAGTGAGCTCATGATTGTTTCCTTCCTGAATGTAAACATCAGATTGTCTTTAATGTAAAGGGAACATGCTGTGCTGTTAGCAGGTTGTTTTGTGGTAGAATTAAAGCATCAACACTTCCACAGAAACCTCTCAAATTACTCTCTATTCACCAGTCTTTTTAAACGGACGTGGATTCTGGCTACTGTACAGTACTTTATTAAAGACAGCATTTTAAACTGCCACCTCTGAAGCTTCGTTTAAGATGGTAAAAATAAAATGTTTTTATTAATTAGAAAACAAAGCTGAAAATGGCAGTTTCTTTACTGTGCATCCAAGTTACACCAACATTGAGAGTAAGGAGGGAAGACAAACGCAGCTGTTTACGTAAGTGGTGTTTGTGCAGGCTGTTACTACACATGCAGACCTTGAGGCTAGCTGGGCTTTGCATATTGGATGTGTTGGTTGGAGCAGCTCACGGTCATGGTGTTGTCGCTGTAAACGATAAACTGTAACACCTCAGCAGGATTCTGCAGTTTAGTTTTTCATACACAAGAAACGGTGTCGGGCTCAAAGGGCAGTAGCAGAGTCGATTATGTAATGTAGTGTTTCTAAGAAGTTTGTGTAAGTTTCAAATGCATTTCATACTATTTTGTTGGCTGTCGTACTCACTGTCCATGTTCCATTTAATGAGCCGGTGAGTACTTATTTTCTTAATGGCTGCTTGTGCAGAACTGAGAGTGTGTGCTCTCATACTTCCATGTGATTTGGTTTGTGTGTGGCACACGTTCCTAAACTTAATAATGATTTGGGTTGTTGAGTGTCTTCCAGTGCCTCCTAACAGACTTAATGGACAAATGATCCCTTTAGAAAGCTTGAGGAACAGAGTGGCAGGAAGTGTGAGAAATACTGCAAAGAAGGAGGGAGAATCAGGTGGAGAGAGGATGGAGAAGGGGGAAGAGGCAGGAAGACAAGCTGCGGGTGGAATTAATGGAGGGAAGAGGGAGAGACGAAAGGGGGAGAAAGTGAGTGGGAAGGAGAGGAGGATTTCATGTGACTTCCTTGAAAGGAGCTCATGGCAAGTGCAGCAAAAATAGAAAGAGAGAAGATGTGTTACAAGTCCTTTGAGAGCAATAACAAAAAGAAGCTGTTTTCTCTGCAGCCTTGTAATTTTAATAGAG